AAAAACATAAAAAAGGAAAACAAATTGGTATTTATATACACATATGTTGTTGGTTCTTTATAACCTAAGAGGTTAACAACTCATAATTACATGACGACAATCTGGTCATAAATCACTCGCTTTTCGTAGGGGATGGGAAACTTGCTTTCTGATATTTTTGTTGGAAATATCCACGGCTGTTTCATAACCGCACACGTGAGTGGCATCCTTAAGGCATGTCTGCGGATGAGGTCGACATCGGCAAGGAACCACCTAAGAATGTAAAGCGTCTTCTGCCGGTAGTAAATCACTTTCCTAAATAACTATTTCACCATGCGGAATCTCCGGGGACTAATAAAACACAATTTTAATACTGTCGTCTAAAAGCGATGGCATAGATTATGTGATGCCGGCGTGCGTCGGCGTCCCCATTTACAGGTGTCGTCGCAATGGCTTCAGTATCACTGACACCGGCACGGCGATGAAGGCAGCATCCCTTATTTGTTGCCAGGGTAACGCATTTTCGGGCGTTATTAACGTTTTTCTCTATGATTAACGTTTTCAATTATTTTTACGGTTTTAAGTTCGCATTTATTTCCTAAATCCGTATGGTGGCAAGAAGATTATTTAAAATGTTACCAAAATCGACGTACTCTGTCGACGTTTTTTTTTTAACACGAGAGTTACAGATGCCGACAGATTTATAGCCTCAAACTATGTTTGTTTAATCGATATGAATTAAATAGTAAAGTAATTGACTGACTTAACGATTCATCCACGCCCAGACGAAACGGCTGAAGCTACAATCTTGAAGTTTTGTGTGAGGGTCAGATTTGTTCCGAAGTGGTCAGATAAGGCTGGGTTTTTGCAAATTCGTACTAGAACGGTACGAAAAGTACTAAATATGATATCCTTTTTATTTGACGAACCAGTACAGCTAGAACTCTTGAATTTGGAATAAGTGTGGATTGATGTATCAAAGGATTTTTGGAAATTCGCACTATAAATGTACGAAAAGTACTACCATTTCGTATCATGTTTGAGGAGTACGTCGATGTAAGGAGGAAGTTGTGGGAGTGTGTACTCATTAATACGTAAAGTACAAAATTTAGTACGTTTTGAATTTAGAGGAACGGATGGATCAGGAATCCTGAAAAATGTGTACTTATGCGCCCGAAAAGTACTAAATGGCACTAAATATGGTACAATTTAAATTTTGGGTGAACCGTTGGAGATGGAGTCCTTAAATTTAGAAGTAAGATTTCTATTGGACTGCATGATATAGGTAGTTATGAAAATTTGTACTTAATTGTACTAAATGGTAATATATTCGATATCTGGTATCCTGAAATGTAGAAATAAGATTACTATTGCATTCTAGGACTGAGGAATGTAGGTAGTTTTGGAAGTTTGAACTAATTTGTACTAAAGGAACTAAATTTGGTACAATTTCGATTTGGGTGAACCAACGGAGCTGGTATCCTGAAAATTGGAAATAAGATTGCTGTCGGAGTGTAGAATCGGGGTATGTAGGAAGCTTTGGAAATTCGTACTTATGTGTACAAAGTGGTTCTTAATTTGGTACAATTTAAATTTTGGGAGAACCTGTAGAGTTGAACTCCTGAAATTTGAAAAAGAGATTTCTATTGGACTTTTTGATATAGGTAGATATGGTTATTTGTAATTATGTACTAAATGGTGCTCAATCTGGCACAAATTCGAATTGTGGTTAACCAATATAGCTTGAATTATGAAATAGGAAATGAGATTTCTATGGGGCTGTACGATTGAGGTATTTAGGTAGTTTTGGAAATTTGAAGTGTAGGATTTGGGGTATGTAGGAAGTTTTGGAAATGTGTACTTATGTGTACTAAATATGGTACAATTGGAATGTGTGAACGGATAGAGCTGGAACCCCAAAATTTATTATGGCGATATGGCGATGGTTTTGGAAATGCGAAAAGTACTAAATGTTACTAAATTTGGTATTGGGTGAAGGGAGGCTGGAATCATAATTTTTTGATATTAGGACACTGTTGCTGTCTGTGGATATAAAGTGGCTTTAGAAATGGTACACATTGTACAAAAAGTACATAATAGTACTATTTTGGTATTTGGTTAAGGGATAAAGAAGAAGAACTGAAATTTGATATGGAGTTGCCGTTGGGTGTTATGATAGAGGTGGAGAGAAGGAGATGCTTTTGGACATATGTAGTATAAATGTTTGAAAAGTAAGGTAATACATTTGGGATTGGGGATTTGACATGGACTCCACTGTTGGTATATGGTTTTGAGAGAAGCAGGTGAGTTTGGGAATGCGTACTATGATAGTTCGAAATAACTAAATTGTACTAAGTTTGTCATTTGAGTTCATTCGTTTGGAAGGTCACAGGTCACAAGATTTGTATTGCTTTGTTATTAAATCCTTCACCGATAGCCATTAATTTAAATAGGGTTAGTCCTGGGTCCAAACTTATAAACTGTCCAAAGTCTTGCCTCAGTCGAACATTATATTCGACCAGTATTTTGATTACAAAAATACATGGCCAGACAGACCGACAGATTGGTGGACGGGCATAGATAAATCGACTTAGAATGTGATTCTTTGCGGATCACTTTGAATGTCCCGAAACAAATGTACAAAATCTATATATATAAATGAAAGTTGTGTTAGTTACTACGCTTATAACTTAAGAACCGCTGAACTGATTTTAATGATTCATACAAATTCGGAATTGTCTCTTATCCGAAAAGGATAATATCCAAAAAAAATCGCGTAAAAATGTGATATGTTAACATTTTCATTTTGACTTTTGAAATGTACAATAGTAATGTTTTATTTTGCATGATTTTTTCCATTTTGACTTACTTTTTTCTAATGTACATTTGTAGTGTTTTTTATATTTTATTTTTGAATTCGAATATTAATACCAATTTATTTAATTGACTTGATTTCTTGAGAACTGAAATTGATAACGGGTTACATGGAAGTGTAGTACCGAATTATGTGGTGGCGAAACGGAATAGATGATACCGAAATAATTTAATGCGGTCACACCAAAGTTAAAGGAAAAATACTTTTTCAAAATCGTTAAAATGAAACACGAAAAAAGAGATCTCATTGCAACAATTCTCAAAACGGGAAAATATCGAAAAAAAAATTCCAATGGAATTGAATTTTAAAATAAAAGTACATTCTATTGACAAACTTTGTAAGGATCTTTAAACAGTTGCTGTAAAAAATCAGCGAACAAGTTAAAGATTTTTTCAATTTGTTATTCTTCTTTTGTCAATTTTTTTCAATTTGTAATATCATATTGAATTCAGTGGATTTTTTGTGAACAAAATAAAGAATAATTTTTCACTATATACAATTTTTCACCAAAAAAATGAAATAAGTTCGAAATACGATGGTAACTGACATCTACCTTTCAACTCCAGGGCCTACATCGTGCTTCAGCTGGAAGATGCGCAGACATTTAAACAAACAAAAATGACCGAAAAAGACTAATGGGGCTTATTTCAAAGCGCGGCCCTACTTCTTTCATGTGACAATAATCCGTCCAATGAGAGCTCAAAATGCAAACATTTTTGGGAGTACAATCAGTAAAATACCAAATATAAAGGGTGCAAAATAGTAGAGCGAATGGGACTTTTAGTAAGAAAAGGATTTCTATCCTTCCAAAAATTCTGCCTGAACATTTAAGATACCTTAAATCGCTTTAGCAGGTCATGATATCGATCATAAATAATCATCGTATGATTTAAGCCATTTTTGGAGCCTTCGCCATTTTCTTCTATTTTTGGCCCTTATTTGGCATCTTTGTTTCTAAGGGGGGTAGAGAACCTCTTCGCATAAAATTTTCGGAGTAGGGCCCATATTGGTCTTGACCACTAAAAAATTTTATTTATGCTACCCTGGGGTAAGGAACCATCGTACAGATAATTACCACATAGAAATCTATTCATGTAAAGTCCCCACATTGGAGTATCCCCAAGTCCACTTTCACATCTAATGTGTGGTCAGAAAAGAAAAATTTGTATTCTATTGAATTTGTAACCCCCAAGAGAATATTGGTTGGGAACGTAGATTTGGGATATACATCTATATGAAATAAATTGTGAAAACATGAACAAATTACAAATATAAGAAATTAGCACGGGACCGAATATTTGTTGAATCGTCATTAAATTATACTATGATGAAAAATATGGACTCCAACTTACAATTTAAATGGCAAATAAAATTAATTCCCATCTTACGGTAATGGATGTAAAATAGCTATATTTTTGATTTGGCCTCTATTTGTCATCTTAGATTATAAGGGGTGAAGAAAGTTTTCAATGTAGGTCGATGTTTCGCATTTTACCATATTTCAAAGGATTTGGCTAAAAATGAGTATTTGGGGATGAAAATCTTACACAAAAATTTCAACATATCTACAAATTTTAGGATTTTCTCCATGTAATAGTATCCCCTCAAGTCCACCTTTTGGCGGACAAACAGACCGACATGGTTAGGGGGACTTATGAGGACTCTAATGCACAATCTGAGGTGCTAATGGGTTCAAAAAAGTAATTAACTTTGCCTATTCTTAAATCAATTAGCCCTCAATTACGAGTTGTACAAAGTACAGTAAATTCCAAATTACTGCTCATTTCACTAAAAATTAAAAACTAATCGACCAGTACGTGAACATTTAAAACATTCATATCTTTGAATAATCATGCTTTGACAAATATGCATAATAGACAAAAACTATGGGCCGGCAACGCGGACCGGGCCAGCTAGTTATTTATAATACCCTGTACTTCAGTGTGGCGTAGAGCGTAGAGCGTAGAGAGCCCAACCAGAATATGTATTCTCGAATATTTCGATGTTTGCAAATGGAATGTACGTGTGAGATTTTTTGTTTATAAATGGATATTCCGATTAGAGTTTCAGAGTCTAGTGTTCCAATCTATACTATTTCGAATAAGTTATTGCAGTTTTTTTACACCTATCTACCTATTTATTTCAGATTAAGCCTGACCAGTGCCAGCAAAGTTTGGATCGGAGCTTGGTGGATTGGTTTCGTATTTGCCGCCGTTGCCTGTTTCCTTTTAGCCATACCGATATTCGGTTATCCGACTGTACTGCCCGGTTCCGAAAGACTGCAACAGGAGAAAATATCCGAGGCATACAATGCCAACAAGAATGTGGAACAACCCACTGCCCACTTCACCAAACTCAAGGAGTTGCCAATGGCCTTGACGGCGCTACTGAGAAATCCAACTTTTGTTTTCCTCAACTTGGCCGGTGCGTCGGAGGGTATGATAATAGCTGGCTTTGCCGCTTTCCTGCCGAAACAAATTGAAAATCAATTCAGCATTTCACCCGTGTGGTCTGCCTTGCTGATGGGCCTGATCACGGTACCTGCAGGGGGCGGCGGTACCTTCCTGGGCGGTTATTTGGTAAAGAAATTCAATCTCAATTGTTCGGGAATAATAAAACTGTGCCTCGGGGTGACCGTCATCGCAACGGTCTTTACGAGTTGTTTTTTGCTGTCCTGTCCTAATCTGAAATTTGCCGGAGTCACAACTGGTTACCAGGACACAACTCTACTGCACGGCCAGCAAATGACAAATTTCAAGGTCGAACTCGAAGCTAACTGCAATGCCAACTGTTCGTGCAGTAAATATATGTACGATCCGATCTGTGGCCGCGACCATGTCATGTACTATAATCCGTGCTATGCCGGCTGTTCCGTCAAGGTAGCGCACAACGACAGCAAATCTTACAGAGACTGCGGATGTATCCACACAACACTGGCTGCGTCCCAGTTCGAAGCGACAAACACAATGTGTCCATCATCGTGCCAATATCTGCCATACTTTGTCATATTGTGCTTCGTCCTGATGATGTTCACGTTCTTGGCCACAATGCCGGCATTGTCGGCAACTTTGCGGTGAGTTTCCAATCTTAATTTTGCCTTTCCCTGTGATTTTGACTTTCCCTTACTAGATGTGTTTATGACGACCAGCGTTCCTTTGCCCTGGGCATTCAGTGGATAAAGGTGCGACTGTTGGGCACCATTCCAGCGCCAATGATATTTGGCACACTTATCGATGAAACCTGCATTCTGTGGCAGGAGACATGTGACGAACAGGCTGGAGCATGTTTGGTGTATGAGAATTCACAAATGAGTCGGTAAGTCAACTATTAGTTGAGTACACCCATTGGAGTCTATATAACCTGATTCTAACCCCCTCTGTAGGTACATGTGGATGTTGGCCTTGACGGGCAAATTGTGTTCGGTGGCATTTTTCTTCGCTGCTTGGTGGTTTTACATACCCCCGAAGGAAATGCCACCAGCCGAGGACTACGATGCGAAGGACGACACCAACAACTGCAACACCACTGCCCCGATTAGCACAGTCGAGGGTGTGATGGTGGCGGCATCAACAAGTTAAACCAGCTGAGCCGAGCGTTCGATGTTGAGGTTGTTACATTAACATCCGGCAAAACAGACCAACCCATCCTTTACCCCCACCAGCGAATCACTGTCATTTCTGTTTTGTGATACAACAAAAACCACCACCATTCTGCATCACCTATCATCATCGTCGTTCACATTGTGGTAGTAGCCGGAACAGCTGATTTCATTCATCAAAAAGCTTGGCGGGAAAATAATAAAAATATACCAGCAGCAACAAAAGGATCTCATTGTCATGCGCCCCAAAAACATATGTTAGGGACACACTCACACACGCACACGCATATGTAAACACATTGTCATAATTATATACTATATACTTAGTCATACATATATACATAACGTACACTTAAAAAAATAATTTTAAATAGATTCTGTCGTATTATGAAAAAATAGATGTGGATGAGTTTCTTGTTAAAGCTCGGGTTAAAATAAATGTGTGGCTTTAAAAAAAAAAAAAAACAAGTTAAAAAGCAGTAAGTTCGGCCGGGCCTCCACCATTTTGAACGAATTTGGAAATTTTCAAAAAATGAAATCCTTAAAACATTCTGTTAAAATTTTAAAAATACCAAATATAGCCGTTATATTGGGGTCTATACGACGTGGGTCTACATAGGCAATGTTTGTCATAAACCATTACCATATTCACATTCGAAACTTGAAATAAACGGTGAATAATGTAGCTAAAATCATCAAAATATCGTATATAGGGAGGTGACGTTATATCGGAGCTGTGCGAAGACCTGGACCTGCGTAGACAATTTTCTGTCACAGGCTGTAGCATCCATTACGAACTTCAAATACCACATCTTAAACAATTTCGGTGGGTATTGTACCTAAAATCGTCAAAATCCCGAATATAGGGAGATACTGATATAAGGGGCCTATACGAAGACCTCCACCTGCATAGAAAATTTTCTGTCAAAGACTGTAGTTCCCATAACGAACTCTAATTACGTAATTTGAAACAATTCTGGTGAATAATGACGCTAAAATCATCAAAATACCGAATATTGGGAGGTACCGGTATATGGGGGCTATACGAAGACGTGGAACTGCACAAACAATTTTCTGTCTTAGGGTGTAGTATCCATTTCGAACTTCAAATACCAAAATAGAAACAATTCCGGTGAATAATGTCGCTAAAATCATCAAAATACCCGATATCGGAAAGTACCCTTATATGGGGGCTATATGAAAACGTGGACCTCATTTACGAACTTAACCTGCCTATTGGAAAAATAAACATGTGTGCTAAATTTTAGCCATCTATCTCAATTCATTCGAAAGATAGCGAATAAATATATACTTTGTTGGGTCTGACATGAGTATTTCGAGGAGTTACAAACGGAATGACAAAGTTAATATACCCTCCATAGTATGGTGGAGGGTATACAAAAAAACCCACCATCTCATCGTATGTAGGCATTCTATAGGGTAAGTGTACCAGTAGTCGGCACTTTAAGGATTTTCGCGTTTTCAATCGTTCACCATTCTGAGTGGAACTTTTCAATTATTACAAATTAATTTATTCTGATTCGAAATTTTGCATATTTTCTGCAATAATAAATAAAGTTTTAATAACTTTTTATAAATTTCATAAATTTGGTGTTTTATTAAAATAATGTTTTTTTTTTTGCCAGAAGTCGGCACCACTTGCCAATTGTCGGTATGACATGTTCCAACAGTCGGCATACCGATTTTTTGTAAGGATAATTAATAACAATAAAAAATTAATTTATTAAAATATTGTTGTTGTTGTATATTGTTGACCTGTTAAATTTATTTTACTTATTTGGTTATTTGCTTGGCTTAAGGTTTTATGTTATGTTTTTATACCCTACAACACTATGTGTTGGGGGTATTATAAGTTTGATTGGGCCAGAATTTATGTAACACCTCGAAATATTGGTTTCCCATATAGGAAAGTATATATGGATCTTCCTAGCTCGCCGAGCTGAGTCGATCTAGCTAGTCGATGTATGTCCGTCCGTCCGTCTGTCCATGTTAATTTGTAATCACTCTACAGGTCGCAATTATGGCCCGATCTTCACGAAATTTAGAATGGAGGTGGGGCTTAGGTCAGAATAGAACCCTATTTCTTTTGGAGATGATCGCCAAATGTTTAGGGGTTGAAATGGACCAAATACTGAAAAAATGTTGGATTTTGCAGTAGCTATACAGGTCGCAATTATAGACCAATCGACGGAATTTCGCATGTAGCTAGAGTTTAGGGCAGGGAAAAAGCCTACCAATTTGGGTGGTCATCGGATAATATTTAGCGGGTAAAATAGACCATATCTTTTTTGTTGAAAAAATTCAAAATTTTTTATTTAACCGCGAATATTTTAAATCCCGGCGAAATCACAAAGCCATGACAAGGTTACTTCTGACCTTTACATTGATGTTAATATCCAACAAATCGGATATATAGCGAAATATGTGCGATATATATGTCTATCAAAGAAGATATGCTTGAAAGATCTCTTATATGTCGAAACCGGCTGAACTGATTTCGACAGTTCTCATTAATTCAGAATGGCCTCTTGGCAGGAAAGGAAAAACGTCTAAAAAAATCGCATAAAAATATCTCTCTAATGATGAAAATATTGATTTTGTAAAATTTTCTCATATTTTTTCAGTTTTGTCATATTTTTGGCATATTTTCATTTTGAATTAAACATTTGGTAATATTTCTACAGCTAACAAAACTAAGTAGTTAGGATATCAGGATAGCATATACAGATCGCATTTATGGCCCGATCCTTACGAAATTTTGCATTTGGATAAGATGAGGGTCAGAATAGAAGCCTACTCTTTTTGGAGATGATCGCCATATATTTAGGGGTTGAAATGGACCAAAAAACTGCAAAATTGTCAGCAGGTCGTAATTATCAACCGATCCTCACGCACATTTGAATGGGGGTTACCGGACATTGCAAAAGCCAAGCAGTTTTGGATGGCCATCCAAAAATATTCAATGTGTGGAATAGTTTGCCAACTTTTGTAGACAAAATACGAAAATGACCATTCCAGTGACTTTTTGGAGAATTCACAAATACAGGAAAGACGCACTTCTGACTATTTCGTTAACGCTGATTTCGTTGAAGAATATAGTCAAATGGCTGTATCTCATATAGATGCGTTTCAGTCAAAAACCAATAATAAATGTTAATCTTTTGCCACTTCTGAGAGATTATAGGTCTTTGGGAAATATTGGTTCCAGATCTAGGAAGACCATTTAAATTAGTTTAAGTTGCTATTATTCGAAAATTAGAGAACGAAACCTGATGGTTTTCTTTTATTATTTGTCACAATATCTTGTGGAATTCTTTCGAGTATCTCGCCTATATAAACTGTATCGTTTATTATAGTGTTGTAGGGTATTCAACGGTCGGCCCCGCTCGACTGTAGCCTTTGCTTACTTGTTTATTTTTGAATTTTTCCTTTTTTTATTCATCCAATATTTCGATTTACTCCGGAAATCATCTTCTTTTATTACACTTTTCTTAAGAATATGGATTGTACCGTTCATGCTGAGGACCTTCATAGACAAGAATTCAATTTTTATTAGAATAAATCATCTTTTCTTAGCGAAATTGTACACAGAGATAGCTGACATTATATTCGAGGCAAACAAAAAATGTCGGTTTACATTTAGTTAAAACTCACACTTACCCTACCAGAAATTCGAAAAACTCGCCCGAACTCGAGCAAAGAGTGAAGATCGCTCGAAGTTGATCTGGAACACTCGTGTGCGGACAAGGCATGTTTTTGCTCGTATTAGACTAAAAGCAAAATTAGTTCGAAAATGAGCATATTCTATTCTTGCCGAGCACTGTTTTAGGTTTCTGTCATACCGCTGTTGTTTTTCTGTGTGTGTGTGTGTTTTCTCAAACCACAGCAGCAAATGAAACAAAACCAAACACTTTTAAAATCGTTGTCGTTAATCTGTACGAACAAAGAATACGACAGTATTGTTACTTTTGCACACAAAAGAATTACCTGTCGGACTTCTTTCAACCGGTTGAAAATATCGTTAGTTATAAATGTATTAGACTACAACTAACTACAAACTGATTGGAAGATCAACCATTTAACTGGCCACAACTGGTTGATCTCCAGATGACTTTTCAACCAATTTTTAAGTTAGTTTTAGAATAATTCGTCAACCAATTTGAACGCAAAAACATGTCTAAAACCAGTAAAGAAAGTCGACTTTGTGATACCCTACACCACTTTGCGTATTTAGTAGAGTTTCACAAAACAAATACAAGTTTCTATGGGGAACTTGGGAGAATTAAATCATACCAACTATGATTATGGTTATAATTTAAAGTCTAAAGGGACTAATATAGGAGAGGAATATCCTCCTCTTAATCGATTTCTACTAAATTTGCCGAGGCATTTGTACCTTTTCAATTCGGGCTTGTATTACCCATATGGTGCACAATTAATTTGAATTCGGATAATGATATATATGGGAGCTATATCCAAATCTGGGGCCAAATCACCGCATTCGTCATCGAGTTCTGTTTCGTATAGAGAAACATTTCGATCGCTGTAAATTTTTGAATCGCCGCATTCGATCGTAATTTATTTTGTCTACTACTTTTTTACATTGCTGAAAATTGCAATTGCATTGCCAATATATTATGAATGCAAGTTTTTTTGTTTTCCTCGTCTTCGGACTCAGAGCCTGAGTACAAAGTGGCATTAATAAGGAAAAATATTCGTAACAAATTCAGTCCTTTAACATTGCCTGAAGTGGTGTAAGTGATTCTATTTAAATTAGTATAAAACTTACACTTTCACCAACTTCTTGTTTCGTTTTGTTTGCCTTTTTTCCGCATAAAAATCACTATATACTATGTTTTCGATAGCATACTACCTATCCTGTACAACTTCGAGTAAAAACGATTCGATAACGACTACGGTGATCCGCATAAACTACATTACGATGCTGAAGTACTCGATTTCGACTGCGGTGATTTGGCCCCTGAACCAACCTCAATACAATTTGGCAAAGGCATTTCTGAGCTGTATTTCATATATTTCCTCGGAATATATTACGGCTGTGTAGGACAAATTCAGCAAATCGGATGAGCAATATATATGGCACATATAGCTATATCTGAACCGACTTTCACCAAATTTGACATACTTTTTTCTACACCCAATTTGGTCGTAAGTGCCAAATTTCATCCCATTTGGACCAATATTACATGTTTGATGCACAATCAAAGCCAAACCGAACGAAGATGTATATGGGAGCTATATCCAAATCTGGACCGATCTCGATAAAATTTAGCAAAGATATTTCTGAGCTGTTATTGAAATATTTTCCCAAATATCGTTGTTATTAGGCTGTGGAGGACAAAAATAAATAATCGGATGATCAATATATATGGTAGGAGCTATGGCTATATCTGAACCGATTTCGGTCAAATTAGGCATTCCTATTTTCAGGCCTAATTTCGTCGTATGTGCAAAATTCCATACTATTTGGGCTGATATTACACGTTTGATCCACAATAAAAAGCAAATCGGATGGAGATATATATGGGAGCTATATATAAATTTTGACCGATTATCTCCAATTTTAATAGGGTCTGTCCATGGGCCAAACAAATGATTTGTGCAAAACTTCATCTGGATCGGGCAATAACTGCGACCTGTACTTTGTTTACAAAAATACATGGACAGAAGGATGGACGGACATCCATAAATCGACTCAGAATGTGATTCTATGCAGATCATCAAAAAGAACTATGGGTCTATCTCGTTTCCTTTTACCTGTTACAAACAAATGCACAAAGACATAATACCCTGACCACCTTGTGGTGTAGGGTATTATAATAAGATGATTAGCCTTGATACAACTAATTTGGAATAATTCGTATATTACATTTTCAAAAATACTTCGATATAAATGCAATACACACGTACATATACTTTAACACTTCCTGCCATGGCTTAACGGTGCAGCCAGGGTGTATATAAGTTGCACTCTTCCTTCAAATAAAACATAAGGAATATGGTTGTTAAACAATTACAAAAAAAAAAAAAATTAAATAAAATTATTAAACTTTTGTTTGCAGAAAAACAGTGTTTTTTTTACTGACTATAAACAGGTTAAAAGTAATTAGTTTAAAGTTAGTTAAAAGTAATCCAGAGGCGGACAATTGACTACTTCCCACGACATCGCAATATTAAAATAATTAGTTTATTGCATATAAAAGTAAACCAACCACCACTACTTCAGAAATAGTTAGCTTTCATTTAATTTAAAGTTAAATGAATTGACGACAGGGTTTGTATGCGATCGCTCACTTTCTCCCACTTCACAGCAACATCAAAACCAGTTTGCTGCTACACGCACACACAAATCAGCAGACAGAATATTTTTCCTACTCGATTTCACTCTTAAAGCAAACTCTCGCTCTTTTTCGAGCAATTCTGCTTGCACTCAAATGTTTCAAACAAAAGTGACTCGGGAGCTCTCACACACGAAACAAAAGAGTGAAGATTAAAACTCGCACTCTTCGAACAACCCCCTTGGGAGAAAGTTTCCCTCAGACTCATGAAAGAAAA